GTCATATTTTTATTTGGATTTGTATTTTTATGTTAGAAATTTACAAATATTGATAAAATGATTTAACTATTATCGAAGTTAATTTATAAAATATCATATCTTTAAAAATTAAAATTTTTGAATTCTAAAACAAATCACAACTATAGCCAAACAAACAAAATAGCGATCAATCGCAGCGACTGGAAAACGAACAATATAACGACTGGCTAGTCGTTGTCTCTATCGCCAACGACTGACAAAATAACATGTTATATTGATTTATCATAAAACAGAGATAATATATTTGATTTACTTGAGAAATTTAAGAATATGATTTTAAGAAGAAAAAAAATCAGAAATAGATATATAATACAACAAAAATCTCAACCGATTTGTTTGCTTTCATATGAATATACATGAATGGTTAATGCAATGCATTGCATTTTTTTCTTCTTCCAGAAAGGTAAGATGTTCGAGGACAGCTAATATATGCATGTATCAAATCAAAGGAAGAGACAGAATAGATCATGTACTAAAAAAGTTACAATCATAGAGGATATATAAATACTAGGAACGATGTCACAGTAGTGATAACAAGATAAAATACAACTTGTATATAAACATAAAAACAATGAGTGGGAACAAGCAAAGAGTGTCTGTGTCCATCTTAATAGTGATGGTTGTGATGCTATCAACTTCTCAAAATACGAAAGGTAATAATGATGGTGTGCTTGCTCCAGTGTCGGACAAAGGGATGCTGCCAAATCCAGTGACTTGTGTCTCAGACGCAAGGAAAATTCCGGATTGTGTAGAGGCAGTGAAGCATTTCCGTTTCAAAAGTGTCACAAAGGAATGTTGCATCGTTCTACTCGGTATTCCAGAAGATTGTTTTGGGATTTTGTTTCCTATGCGTTTCGTCTATCGTGCTATGCTTAAGATTACATGCAAAATAATAGGCATAGGTGGTTAATCACTTTTTTATCAATTATTTTTTCTTTTTCTTTTCATGTAACAACAATAATGTATCATATCCACTTGAAATAGCTATGACTCATTTCATCTCTATGCTCGATTTGTAATCTCAAAATGATGTCTCTTAGAGGAAGAAAGGTGATTAAAATAAGTTTTAAAAAGGAATAATTGACCACAATAGCACTTTTTCATCGAATCATTATTATTTGGGATAGTTGCACAAAT